GCTAGCCAAAGTTAGCTAAGTTATAGACCACTTATTAAATTATAACTTGTACACACATCCCACTATATAAACAAGTTTTTTTTCTTGTAAACTTTCGATGCGGGATTCCTTACCATATATAAGACACTTAAAATTGGGCTTATCAACTTATGGGCCTATATTGGAGACTTTTCCAATTCACCCAAATTATTTACAATGGCCCACATAATTAAATATCACATTTAATTATTTAACACTTTATCAATTAATTCCAACACTTTTTTATTTGGCTGAGTCAAACCCTCTAATTTTCACTTTAGATTTTCAACAATTGCATATTTTCACAATGACATTTTGGGTGTTACAAGATAGATAACCTAAGTATGTTATACAATTAGAAAATATTGTTTTATTTAAAAGAAAATACCAAATATTGTTTTATTTAAAAGAAAATACCACCCTTCTAGTTAACAAGTAAAGTTCAAACACGCCTCACTTAAAATTTTTAAATCAACTAACTTTTCTTATCTGTTTATTCCAACATAAATAAAAATTCTCTCATTTTCATCCGCTTCAATTTCAAAATCTCATAAATTTATCAAACATTGAACAAGAAAATATTTTTTTATATCTATCCCTTCGAATCGGTAAGTATATTTTTGTATGCTTAATTTAGTTTTGTTAAATTAGTATGTTTTTTTAATCGATAAATCTTATTGCGACATAAATTAACATGTAGATAATTTTTTTAAATTGATTTATAATTTTTTAAGCATAAACAAGAAATAAATTTAGGCAATTCAATTGTCTAGAAATTAGAATTTGTTTGATTGACATGAAAAATATATCATAGAAAGAAAAATATTTTCATTGTTTTGAGAAAAGCAAAATCCTAATCCCAAAAAAATGTTTTCCTTAAAAAAGGGAAAATTAGACATTCTTAAAAGTTGGAAAATATTTTTTATGGAAAAAATAGAAATCAAACAATTCAAAGTAAAAATTTGGTTGGAAAACTAACGTTTTCCATGAAAAATAAATACAATCAAACACACTTAATTTAATTTTCAACCTAAAATATATTATACTTTTCATTTTTTATTGGTGGGTAGATGAGAAAGAAGGGATAAATGAGAGAGAGAAATAAAGAGAGAGTGAATTACCCGAAAAATAAAAATCACATCCCCCTAAAAAATATTTTCCTTATTTTCAAGAAAAATATGGTTGCATGACTAAAAGTGGAAAAATATTTTTCGTGGAAAAAAATTGTAAATCAAACAGCACAAAAATAGAAAATTAGTGGAAAAAACACATTTTCCATGAAAAATCATTTTCCATGAAAAATATTGGCAATCAAACACACCATACAAGAAACCAAAGATCAAGATTTAGCCCCTGTTTGGTCCGAATTAAAATCTGATTTTTTTAATCCAAGTCAAAGTCAAACATTTAATATTAACATCTTTCATGGGTCCCACAACTTTTCAACCACACATTTCAAAAACTTATATCAAAATTTGATAAAAATCTAATTTTAATTCCCACCAAACACCCTCCTAGTGAAAGTCCCTTGTTGCACTTGCTCCTTCACATAATAGAGTTATTCTCACAAATGGGTGTTGAAATTCAAGAAAAAATTCATACTGGTCCTTAAATTTTGTTTTAAACATATTTAGTTACTAAAATGCAAAACATACATAATTGGTCGAACATATTCAAACATGCTCGACACATTGTAACTTTTTCTTAAACTCAGTCAATGCGTCAATCGATGGACGAATCTCAATATAACAAGGGAAAATTGCGGCCGCGGTCCCAAACCTTTCATTTTGTTGCAGATTACACCCAAACCTTTAATTTTTGCAGTCGAAGTCCCAAACCTTTATATGTAATAGCAGCGTCGGTCCCAAACCTTTACTTGTTGCGGTAGAAGTCCCAAATATTTGTACATAATTGCAGCGTCGGTCCCAAACCTTTGTATGTAATTGCAGCGTCGGTCCCAAGCCGTGAATTCCGTCCGTAAAACCGTTAGTCAACGTTGAAACAGTAATTTTGACTCGGAAAAATT